ATGTAAACTGAATACAATACTCTAACTGCTTCAAAATGCTCTTTTTAGAAGCAAAACGAAAACATCGGAGATCTAGGCAGCGTTACCTAAAAGTTGAGCGACACTAAATGTTTGCGCAAACACAATGAACATTTTAAACCAATGCGCAAGCAGAAATTGAAGTCCAATATTTCTTTAGGAAAAACTTTCAGCGCTATACATCTTCTGGCCTTGCAAAGAGCTCTATACACTTGGTCGTCCTGCATGACTAACAGTGAAAAAAATACACATACTGGAATGTTCGAAAAACTAATACTTTGTTTCATTATTTTTAGCAATTGCTCTGGAGCCTTTTGCCGCTTATTGTCAAAATCTTGATCGATTTTCGTATAGATTTGAAATCCCCTTTGCTACACAAAACTCGTTTACGGCTCCAATTCCTATGATTTCGATTCTTTGAACTGGGAAGAAAATTGTTCGACAAAAGGTCTTTTTTAGGCACCTAGCTTTTACATAACCCGCCTTGACTCTTCAAGTTTTTTTGAGAAACAATTTCATTTAATATGATAAGAAAATCATCAAAGTATTTTTAAGTAAGTAGCAGCGTTTGGAATGCTCAAACTTTCTTCCCTTTTTCGAAAAGCTGCCATACCTTTATAGTGAAAATCGTTGGGCCTTCCTTGGAGATGTCAATCGCCTATTTTTACTTCGTTAGCGATAACTACATCTTGCATATGATTAGAAACTAGTCGGAAAATATGCCATTCTTTTTAGAATAAGCTTCGGAAAACGCAGAGGATCTTAAATCGCAATGGTCTTCTACAAGCGCGGAAGGTTTATCGGTGTGTGGAGCGCATTGAAAGCCAAGTTCAACTTGGTGGAACAATCATTGTGCTAATAAACAACGGATAGAAGCATACCATCCCTGGATTTTTAGTTGGAATTAGTAAACATGACAAGAATTTAGTCTTTGTGGACTTGATATTCGTTTTCTATGCTTGAAAATGGAAATATCAAAAAAATTGGAAAAATGGTAAACATAGTTTTGCAGAACACGAAGAGGTCCCTCGATCCACCTTCAAACTTTGTGATTTTGAAAAAAAATAACGAAAATTTGTGTATTCAAATAATGAAGCAAATCAGCACAAACCCCATGAGTAATATATCCAGTCTATAGTTGTCGCTGGCACTGAAAACAAACAAACACAAACGAAACGCACGGGGACACATTTCGCGTTAACGAAGACAGCTCCAACCACAGCAATAAGTACGAAACGTCGAACCATGGATCACTCCAGTTGTGTAATGAGCCTTTTTTGAAGTGTTCTGAATTTGAGCTAAAGACTGAAGTATAAATATGTGCTTGACTAACATCAGTGACTATATGAAGATTGAAGCAGATTTACGGTGAAGAACCTGAGAAGAATTAGAGGACGATGATGATAGTGTGAGTATCTGTATAATTTCATTTACCAACGAAAAAAACTGTCAGAAATCCATTTGATTTGTTTAGAAAACATGAATGCGATTAGTTGAGCGTAATGGAGTTAAATTCAAAATACCAGTTATTTGAATATTGTGATCACAGCTTCAACGGATAAGTCACGGGCCTTTAACAAAAGAACAAACCTCTTTTTATCATATCGGATGGCGATCACAAACGAAAATGAATAAACTCTAAGAAGCTTGTATAGCCGAAAATGAACAGTTTGACAGCGATCTTGTAATGAAAAATTCGGAACTATCATCAATTGGGTCTACTTGAGCTTTTTATGTGAAACATTATCCTATTTATTTTTATGCATAAGAGATTGAGAAAGGAATGAAGGCCATCATTTAGATGGTATAGCTCAAACAGTTGATATCAAACACCAATGCAAAACGTTTCAAAACAGTTTGATGGCGAATGGAACTGCAGCACTCTTGTTTATATAAACATGAACTCTGTAGCCAGTCTGTGACTGATTGATTTCAACTTATCGTCGCCAAAGTTTGTTGAACAGAAAGCACAGTATTCAAACACGATCTTAATCAAAAAATAGATATTCTGCTTTGGATTTGTAGTTAACAAAGCAAAGAATTATGGCTGATTTTTTGATAGAAAATCGTTTGATGTATGAACCCCACCCCATGTCGTGCTAGAAGATTTTTCTAAGAACGAAAAGAAAGAGGTAGACGGGAAGCATTTAGCATACATATCCGCTATTCCTTTTTGAGATTTCTGAACAGCTTCCTATATATGGCTTATGGGTTGTTTACAATGCTCTTATGTAAAATTTACGCGTCCTTGTTCAGTATCATTACAGCGTATGCGTATGCGTTTAGCGTAGATGTATCTTGTGTGGGAATATAACTGTCGAATTCCAAAAGTGATATACATTGACTGGACTGGACTGCAGCTTTATGTTATAATATAAATAATCTGATTGGTAAGAGTAATGTTAGTCGTTTAGTATATTTCTATCTCTCGCTCTCAAAGCAACAGTTAACAGCTGCTGTGATGGGTGCTCCGTTTCTTCTTATACTGTTCACCTTGTACTCATGCGTGTTTTTATAGGTCTGAGATTATAAGACATTTACGTTACTCTAGCTCAGTTAACCTGAAATCATGATTTGCTCCTTGTAGACGTTATAGTAACTTTTTTCTTGGGAGGATTGGATCGTAGATTTCTTGTCATTGAAGTTACAATGAGTACTGCCTTGCTTTTGTTACTTCTTTGTTACTAATTTCGGTCCCGAGCCTTTCTATCTCACTTATTTTGAAAAAATTCTCCTACTTTTTTGTTTCTTTTTTATAAGAGACACGCTAGCCAAAGCGCCGCTTTGCAGAGGAGTGTGTGTAAGTTCCCTCCACAGGTACCCTAGCCAAACGCTTATAATACTTCTTTCTGCAATGTGGAAAAGTGCACTTCATGGTATTGAAAATCGCAGCTTCTAAAGAGGCCATAAAATGCCCTAGTGTTTCACTATCTCCGTTCTTCGAAGTAACATTCACTTCTGGCGTCTGGCGACAGCAAATGTACACTTCATAAATGAAACTAGATGTGGAGCCTTAGATCCAGGAAACCTTCAAATTCGGTGGTCTTTCTTTCCACGAAATCTTGCACAGGCATGTCTAGCAGCTTTCTTGCTCGGAATAAATATTAGTAGTGAAAAACAGATACTCAAGGGGCTCTTTGCCTTTCTGACTTTCTTCAACAACCTACACAAATGCCTGAAACTCTTATGGTTTTGTGGTTGTATCCCTATCTAAAACCCACACATGTAGCGCTAAAAATCAGGCTTTCCTCTTACTTTCTGAAAAATCTTATGCACTGAAACGGTAAACAACCATACTGATGACGTCTCGGCGACAAACCGACACGACGAGCCACGGGAGGGGGGGG